GTCGGATATTTCTTGCGCCTCATTGCTCTTCAAGCTGGTTAACCGTTAAGCCTCTCTTTTCATTTTTTATTGGTTTGGTTTTGTGACAATTTTGAAAGAACCTTTCCGTTATCCAAAAGAAAATTTCCCACCCCATCCGCAAAATGTGAAAAAGGTGACCGTTTATCCCACCGAGTGGAAACGATCAGATGATTGGTCTACTCATGATTTTATTGCCCACTGTTTTGGGACCCTAAATATTTCGCGATTTTTCTGTGAGAACTTTAGCTTAAGAAAAATTGTTTGCACTACACGAACTAGCACTTGAGCTGTCATAAAATGTGGTTCACTTGAAAATTTCAATTATTGTAGTTAACTCGCGTCGTCAGACTATATATTTTTACAAAGTTTTTTTCTCAAGCTTCTGGGGGAGAGTAAGTGATCTTAATATTATTCTGAAAGCATCAAACATTCTAAAGACACAAAACTCGTTTAATCCTTATGAAAGAAAATTAAATTTATTAGTTTCAAAGAATAAATAGTTGGCAATATATTGTACTCCTGATGCAAATGGACTGCTGGGAAAGTTGGTGAATTTTAATGGCTCTTCTTTGAATATTCGTTACACTTCATATTTGTTTCTAAAATTCCTTTCACAATAATAACGTAAACTTCAAATTCAGATTCCTGCTTCATGATGAAGTGCCTTAGTAATTCCGCAAATTTCCCGAGTGCATTTCCCAAAACGAGTTGCTTTTGAGTGAATATATTCATCTTCCAACTATACGAGGGTTCTAACAAAAGTTCTTGGAGTAGCAACGAAAATGGCATACAATTGAGCTGAAAAAAATTTATTCTATGGAGAAAACATATTCTTTGGCACAAAAAAAATATCAGCCCTGTTTGAAAAATTCTTTTGAATTATTTTCATAATTCACCCTGGCAGAGTTTTGCTTTCCACTCAAAAGATGAGGCGCCCTTTTTGTTGTTGTAGCCCAGCTTTCCCCTCAGAATTTTTGAAATCAGCTTGGCATTCTTTCTAAGAGTTACCTCCAGGTCATTCAAGGCAATTCCGCCATTTTCATCAAAAGCAGCCTTCACAGCCGCCACATTGGCCGCAACTTTGGCGGCTGTCAATGAAAATGGCGGAATTAATATAATGTAGTAAGGAGTATTTTGTCCATAAAACGCCAATTGAAAATTATATAATGTAAGCCCAAGGGAAAATGAGACTCGACTTAGGGACACTCTTGATGCACAAATTACGTCCGCATCTCGGGGTTTCACTATCCATAATTTTTTTTTACGAATGAGGGAGGTAATTAAAAAAGAAGAGAAATGAAAAACGAAACGTGGGAACGTTCAAAAAGCCCCGGGCTTGGTGCTGCTGCTGCTCTTGCTCTGGGTGCTGACAAGTCTTCGTGCACGTCAACCACGCATCAACAAGCCCAGCAGCAACCATGCAGCAGTCGCCCGCATGCACGAATAACGCGTTTTTACGCACAGCGTCGACAGCCCGGCCGCTGATTCTTTCTCCCCATCCTGCACTAGTTATCGCTAATTGCCTTTCATCGCGCCATTAACGACCGCGAGGGCTCGTTATCGGTCCCCCCAATTCCCTCCCATTATTCGCTTTCTATACAGAGGGTAAACGGGGAGGTCCATAAGTTGCAAAGCATTCGATGGTTGAAGTACAGTCTTGGTTATAGAGCACCACACACACACACACACAGACGTTTCCAAAGGTTGAAAGTGGGAACGGCTCGATTTTTTTTTCTTTGAGCTCAACCTAACCTTGATCAATAGATATCAAGACACTTTCAAACGAAGTTTGAATCGAATTAAATGACCCAGACCCAACTAAATTGACGAAGTATCTTGAAACCGCCTGAATTACTCGTCTTGAAGCAGCCCAGAATCAACCAAATCAATCGAATCCAAGTTCAACTATCCTAAATTTGAATCGAACTAAAGGACTGAAATATTGTAAACCTAACTTGGACTCGCTTATCTTGAATCAACCTAAAATAACCTGTCTTGAACCAGCCCAAATCAAAGTCAAGTTTAACTAACTTAGTCGAACTTGGGAAGAACCTCTCGAAGAAAGTCTCGCTTTTCCAAAATTAAATCAACATATCTTAACATTTTTTTTTGATGGAACAAGACTGTAAACGCCTTTTAATTGTTCTTTCATGTTCACATTCTAGAGGCTAGAATTCCAGAAGTGCACCAGTGATAACCCATTTTTTCTTCGGAGAAAAAGCTTACGTGAAAATGGATTCAAAACATTTCCGAGTAAATTTTCATTTCAGCCCACTGGGGAATTTTTTTCAAAACTGCGGCTTCAATACTTGTGAAGAAAGGGCGACATAAGTCATCTCTTGCCAAGAACTTCCTCTAAGAACGGCCGAAGATGTTTTTGGTCACTTCGCATTTTTCGAAATCGCGTCTGTAATAAATTTCGAAGATGAACTCAATGATCGAGTTTTGAAGTTCCAAGCGGTTTCAAACATGCTAAAAAACTTCGAATACATAAATCAGCTTCCCTAATGAAAAAAAATTTGTTCGAAAGAAACTTACGAGTTTCTTCAAACTTTTGGACCTCACATCGCGTATATTGTTTATACTGTACGTATATATATATATAAATATATCTCTCTCTCCTTTCCCCCGTCTCCATCGCACTCGTTCCCGAATGGATCATTATTAATTGGATTTGCTGTAAACGGCGGTTGCCGCGTGCCCGGATAACATTCTTTACACACCCACATCCCTTGATATTCCAAGGGTGTCGCCAGCGAACGAAGGAATTAATGACCGATGTGGGAACTCTTTCAATCTGACGCAGTTCTGTGTCAAGTGCATACAACAGGAATTTTGCTTTCGCCACCAATTCAGGATCTGGTTTAGAACAGATCGCCTTTGACTCAGTAATAATAACCTTTACGAGCATTAATTTTTTCAAGAGTAACCCGCGCGATATTTAAAAAAAAAGCAGGAAAACATGTTTGAAAATTCCGCAAGACTCTTCTAAGATGTTGAATTCGCACGTTTCTTGTTTTTGTTTTTCAACAGAAAAATAAACGTTGAGTTTTTGATCAAAATACGCACGAATAAAATTTGTCAGTTGAAAAAATAATTATTTGAGGGAGGATTAATGCATCGAACAAACACGATACACTGAAAAAAAAATTTTTCATGGAATTCTCAATTAAGAGAATTCATCAAAGCGTGGTGTCAATGGCTCTAAATTTCACACGAAGTATTTTTAAAAGCCGAAATCACTTCCAGTTTCAAAGAAAATCAACATTTAGAACAGCATGTTTATTAAAAGCCTTCTTCTAACTCAGGAATACATTTCACGTGATGTTGACTGATCGTAAATCGGAATATATTTTTAAAAGAAATTCAAGGTGTAAATTATCGTATTATAAATCATGACACAATGCCCAAATTCTTGATTTCCGAAGTAAAAAAAAAAATGCTCAAAGCTAATATAAAGATGAAAAATGGGAAAATTGAATTTCCCCGTCACATCGAGATGCATAGGATGAAAGTTTCTCAAAATTGTATCAAGGACACATAACATATTTCGATGATTTAAAACGTGCAAAATAAAATACTTTCTAACGTATCAACGTTCGCCTGAAAATCGGATGCACGGGTTCAATTGAAATATTTTCTAATGATCTGGCGAACTGTAGCTAAGTCAGGAAGAGAAGGATACCCTAGTCAACGAAACAACGTCGTGGTAACTAAATTTTTTTCAACGGACCTGAAGTGAAGAGAGAAAAAAAGGGGGGGGGACCACGTGAACAAGTAAGCGAGAATAACGAGCACATTATCGCGAATCATGCTTCAACAGAAAGAAGCACGACACAAACTGTAACTCTAATCAACGATCTAACATACAAAAATTAAAGAGGATAATAAAAAAAAAAAGCAGGCAAGATTAGTACGGGGCAGATGGACTCACGGGTCGTCGGGCGTGAGGATCACGGGTTCCGACGTGAATTCGTAATCAAAGTTATCCCACGGCAACCCGTTACAGTCGCACAGCGGTTTGTAAGGCGGCTCTACCATCCGCCGGTCCAACTGTCGTGTCCCGAACCAACCCCCCCATACATAATCGCCCAGCAGAACACGCAGAGGTTAATGACTGACCCGGTTAATCACCATCAAAAGGAATCGCTCACACACACACACACAAAATGAACAATTGGGAAGTTCGATCATCACTCACAGGGCTTTCTCACTTCCCCTTCCCTTTAGATTTCGCCCGCCAACTTCTCTGAACAACAGAACGTGTGCATCGTGAGCATTGTGATTCATGAGATAGATGTCGTTCTTATCTTCCCCAAGTTAAATTTCACCGGTACATCCAACTACCGCATACAGTACGGAGACTCCATTTATCCCAAACAATAATTTGTTGCCACACCAAAGATATAACGAATAATCGGGTTACACTCATTAATTTTTAAAAACTACATTTTTTACATTTTTAGGAAGCGAATTAGCAGATAGAAACAAATATTATTTAACATGATACAACTGCATTTCCGAAAATTTAGCCGAAACGTGGGAATGAAGTTGAAATACAGTAGTTCAGTAAGTTGGCTGATCATTTTCCTATCAGGGAGTCAAAATTCGGGTAAAATCAACGGAACCCCGGAAAACTGAAGATCAGGCTATCTTCGGTTCCTCAAAAAGCATTCCATCGTTTTCTTTTCAACCTCCGGTAGGATACATGCTAACGCGATAAAAAGTCATTAGATTTCCCCATTAGGGTGCAAGGTGAAAGTGGCCCCAATCACGGTTAAGGTTAAGTGAAAGAACATCTTACTGTTGAACAGCATCCGGAGTCAATTTTGGAAAATCGAGAGCAAAACATTGATTGAAAATGAGATACGAACTATCACACTCCCGAGCTTTTTAAATAAGCTATTCTTAAACTGTGCATGCTATCGAGAAATGGAAGACATCGCGCAACAGGAACGCAAACTTGCTCGTATTAAAGCTTACAATTCATACAACAGGTGACGCTTCTCCACAAAACGACGGTCATTGACTGACTGTACCTTAGCACAAGACGACGGAACACTAATTTCCTGGAATAGATTCGCTAACTTCTATACTCAACATCACGAAAAAAAAAATTGAAAATCAATATTAAGGATAGTTTGGAGAATTTCAGAAAATCTTCACCTGATTTTTGATAGATTATAAATATTTCTACAAATAACATTTGAACGCCATTTGTGGCAAAAAGCAATATCATTTCAATTAATCATAGATGCACAATTTTGGCAGGGGAAATTTTTCAATACAGTATTACAGGTTAATTTTACTTGCATCCGCATGTCTTGAGTGATGATTGAACCAAATTCACAGTAATGTACAGTCAACCCTCATCAATCCAGTGCCACCCTCACTAGGGCCCACAAATTTCGCCCGAAGAAAGCCGAATTACCATATTCTAATACAATAGTATATGCAGTAAACAATACACTCCACCCATTTTCAGTGCCAAGAAATTGCCTTGGACCAACCGTGGCATTAATTCAAGGGTTGAATGTACAGTATTGGAAGGGAAATAAAAATGAAAGTTTTACTCACCAAGAACCAGTCGATTGTTTTGAAGAAAGGATGATGAACAATATCTGAGAAGCCGGTTTCGGGGTGACATCCCAACCGCTCAGCGGGATTCTTGTTTAGGAAGCCTTTAAGAATACTCGCAGCTTTCACGGACAAGGATCGGGGAATCCGAATTGTCTTCTCCAGAATCACTATCAGAAAAAAGAAGAAATCATAACTCATGAGCACTTCGAAAGAGAAAAACTGAGTACAAGACAACCTAAAAAAAAAAAAGTTCAGCGCCGCAATTTTGAATGAAGTTGCAAATGCATGCCTTGTTTTTTCCCCCGAAAGATAGTGAACAATGAAACTCGCCTTGAAAAAGGTAATCCTCGGTATTCTGGTCAGGATTCTCTGCTGCACCCATAATGTCGAAGGGGCTTCTTCCCGCCAGCATCTCGTACATTAAAACCCCCAGTGCCCACCAATCAACACTAAAAAATTGCAATGAAATCAAACCACATCAAGATTTAATGGGTAAGAAACGTGATCCCAAGAACCTCTAAAAATAAATTCCGGCATTTTTCAAAAACGTAAATACACTTAGCGAAGTACAGAATAGTTTTCTTTACTTCTATGCCTGAACTGGCTGAAATACTCGGCAGATGTCACCTGAATCACTAACGAGATTACTGACCAAACTTCGGTTAACCAAAAAAAAATTTCAGCGCAGTAGATACTTCTGTAGAAGTCTCTTACCTAAAGCCATATTCCTCGCCACGCAGAATTTCAGGTGCGATATAATTAGGAGTTCCGCAGAAAGTAGATGTGGTGTCACCCAGCCGGATACCTTCTTTACACATGCCATAATCAGTGAGCTTGATGTGTCCCTCGTGATCCAGAAGAACGTTGTCCAGTTTCAAGTCCCGATAAATTATCCCTGCGGATTTAAAAAATGATGTTTTAATACAATAATAATTTAAACATTCCTTTCATCGAAAAAATTCAGAAATACTGTACATGGAATTGATCGTTACGTAATTCGTTTCTCATCAAGCAATGGGTCACATGAGAAATACTTCAAGATGGATTTGCGCAAAGACAAAAAGTTATACACGAATTTTGTAAAAATTCTTCTGAGTGTCACCCGAAACTTGTAATTAGAGGTGAGCGGGCATCGGTGGATTAAATTTTCTTCATTACAGCACTAAACAAATATGCATCCATTTTTTACTGGTGAGGATAAGAAATCAACGATTTTACAAACCTCCTGGGAGATGCTGCAAAAATGTGGGTTTCAAGCAAAAACATGTGTTTGAGTGCCTTGGCGCCAAGACGCCTTTGACGTAACTTTCATCTGCCAATGAGAGGCCTCCAAGATTTTCTGATCCTTGATCAAGGAGACTTGATCAAGGAAAAGAAAACAAATCAATAAAAACCCTTTTTTATTCCATCCTCACCACCAGTCTGATTTGAGCTGTCAAGAAAGCAGTGCGTTTGTCCGAAGTTTACTGAGAGGTTTTTTGATGTAACTCCTAAAAATTCTGTCTTTGAAACTATTTTGATCTCTTGTCTAAAGACTTTTGTTGGAACATTCGAAATACAGTTTTCTCTTTAAAGTAGGAATTCTACCAAGAATTCCCGTCCGCAGTTCCGGGCTGAGTCTGCGTTTTAATCTTCCTAAAATCTTTTTGATCCACAGCCGTTTTTCATTTCTTGCTTGTGTTGCCGTGGCAGGAGCCCTCAACAACATGCGCTCATTTTATCTCACCCTGAGGCTCGTCTCTCATATATAAAAATTGGACGAACTCTGAAAGGTGCGCTCAAGAATCTAAGTTTCGTTCATTATTTTTTAAATATTTGATGTGACTTCGGAAAATCATGTCAATGGGTGCTGAGAGAGTATTTCCGCATTCTTCCAATTCACCTCGGTCGTGGAGGAAGTTGAGCGCGAGGCAAATCTCGGCGGCGTAAAACCTGGCGTGTTCTTCGGGCAGCCGCCGTTGACGCTGCATATGGAACATGAGATCTCCGCCGCGCACAAACTCGATCACAAAGAAGAGTCGCGAAGGCGTCTGGAAGCAAGAGTGCAGTCCGACAAGGAACGGGTGATTCGATGCAGTCTCGAACACGTGCTTCTCAGTCTGCACCCAGTCAATGTCCTCTTCGTCCGACACCAACTCCTTCTTTATCACCTGCAAGATTATTCCAATTATCGCACCGAAAAATCATATCGCCCAGAGCAGACGAAATCAACGAATTTTGAACAGAAAGTAGAACAATGAATTGCTCTCATTAAGAGACAATTTTGAATAACACGCTCACGTTTAGGTCACATGTACATCACTGTACTCCGATCGCGAATTTTGCGATTATAAACCGGTTCAAAGCCGACGAAATCACCGAATTTTTCACAGAAAGTAAAATAATGAATTTCTCTCATTGAAAGACAATTTTGAATGACAAGCTAATGTTCAGGTCACATTTACATCACTGCACTCTGATCGCGAATTTTGCGGTTATTACATTTACTCAAGCCTAACTAGACAATTTTTTTCAACAAAATTGAATTTTAAAAATCAGGGGCGTCTCCGATTCGAAAATGAAGTTCATGATTGTTTCTCACAATGACAATATTCCGAATAAAAATACTGTTTAGGTATGTGATAAAACTTCATGCTGCAGTATTCAAGTAAAGTACACACATTTTCTCTCCTGGGGGAAAAATAAAGAGCTGACGTATCAAGTTTCGTTGAAAATGTGTTCAATGAGAGCAAGCTGGAAATTTGAATATAGAAAAATAAACGAACCGAAAATATTACAGTAATTGAAAAAAAATACTTAGTCTTTTCCAAGCAAAAACTGAAGTGGGCCCATAAAGAAAAAATCTATTTGAACTGATTCTTCAAGAAAACAGATTTTCACGAGGAAAACTCTTTGCAATTCCACAGGATTTAAAAAAATTTGCCCAGAAGGAAATTTAAATTTTACTCTGACATTCTCGACGAATTTATTTTGACAAACAGGAGGGTCATTCTATTGATTTCAAGTTTCTCCACGCATAGACATTTCTTGAGCACGAAAAAGCAAGATTTAAAAAAAATTCGACCGTTTAAGAGAACGAATTCTGTCAAGACTCGCAAATAATACCTTCATAGCATAAATCCGCTTGGTTTTCTTCAGTTCAACCATGAGCACCTTTGCGTAGCTGCCTCTGCCAATCACGCGGATCAAGTCAAAATCATCCAAACTGTACTGTTTCGCCCCTGTTCCTGGCTCCACACCTTCAAAACGAAATAAAGGATTAAAATCATTTTCACGAAACAAAATCAAAACTTGACATAGCTTTCAACACGCCAAAGAGAAACTTCCATAATCCATGGAACAACTGCATAAATTTTACTCGACCTCGGGGGAAAAAACATCAGATCGTTAGCCGTCAATGTGTTGAGAATCAATATGAATTTAATTAATGCGAGGAGGAAAAATTGCCAAGAATCTCGCCTTTGGCTCAGATCGCAAGACTTTGGCACAAATCCCGTCAGCAGACACATGGTCAGGCACAGAAAAGGGAAATGAAAAAGGGAAAAAAGAATCACATCATTCGCTTGAACACGATCATCCAACTAAACTTGGCTAAAACTAAGGCATCTTCAAGACTATCACATAAGAAAGGATATTAAGGACGATGAACAAAGAATGAATGCTCACGCCTTCGAGATTGAACCTGACGAGACCGATAGCGTCAAGGAATAGATAATTTCTGACCCTAAAAAACTGTTTTCCAACTCCAAAATAAAATTTCAGGAGAATGCAATGAATTTAAAAATAACTTCCTTTCAGCAAATTCGTCCCAATAAACAACAGTCCTGCTGTTTTTCCAAAAAGATTACTCAAGATATTAATGATTTTCAGAAATCCTTTTCACGGATTATTCACGGCATAAATTCAAAGAAGTATACGCCCTAAAGGTCCACGTAGTTCACTAATATTCAAATCACAATTAAGCTAAGTCTTCGGTAATTTTGAAAATTGCAAAAACGCACGAAAACCGCATTGTTTTGAAATTTTGGTGACCAGAGGAAACAAAGCATCTCGAATCTCGACTGAATGCCTAATTTTGCGATAATAATTTACCGATTTAAAAAAAAATTGAACAAAAAATAAATGAAAGTCTTATGCTCAGAAGCACCACTTCAACTGACCAAACTGAGTTTCTCATTCCCATGTCTCCGAAAGGCTGTCAGTTTAAATCGGAAAAAAGGAATCTCGGAAATAAATTACTGTACCACACACACACACCACATTCTCGACTGCTTTTGATAGATACTTAAGACTAGCTAAGACCCAGAGGAATCGACTCATAAGATCTATATAATTCATACGCAGTCGGGTTTGTCCCGAGGGACAAAAGACAGGAAAACCCATCTTCCACCCCCGTAAAGCCCGGAATTGATCGTCATCGCGCAATTGAGTGCTCGGCCATCCGAAAAGAAATTCCCTCCAGATAGTGGGGAAAATATAGTCCTTCGGATTCAAAACGATGCAGAGAAGACAGAAGAGCCTTCCAACGGTCTCTTCCGGCTAATGAAGAAACGCAACGGGCATGCAAAACTCATCGCGATGCATGACCCAGCTTATACATTTTTTATCTATTTATTCTATAGGTCTGGAAGAAGACAGAGAGACCATTCGAGGAACCCGAAAGCAATTACAGCTGCAATGTGGGCCACGCGTCAACCAGAGAAACAGCGAATTCCAGCCAGAAATCTTGTAATTCCTTTCACTTCCACCACGTCAAACATAGAGTCAGGGGAATGAACTACAGTAATTGTTTCGTCACGACGATACTATGATTAACTGACATTAATTTTATTATTCGAAACATTAAATTGGAACCTGGGAAATAATTCCCATCTGATGAAGTTGGGGACTGATTTGCAAGCATTGCAACAAATGCAGCATTCCGTGTCTTTATTTTGGCACAATCGCTGCATAAAATAAAAAGAGGGATTCCATGATATTTTCTCCATCGTTCCAGATGAAGAATCCTTGCTTGTGCATTTTAGCAATTTTAAAATATTGTACATTCTACAATATATTAGCCTTCCTAATCGTTTTTCTGTACATGCTATATGTAATTTTGAGATCAAAGCGTGAGAGCGTTATTTTGAAATCTTGTTGAATATATTTCCAGTCAAAACCTCGGTTGAGTGACGTGTTTCCATTTTCGGCCATTTTAAATTTCGTCACTGATATTTTTTGAATCCCATAAATGAGTTTTGAGATTTCTCTATATCGTACGAAAGTAACTTCACAGTTCACAATACGGGTCATTTCAGTGATCCTTAGCGTGAAGTGAAGAAAAAAAGCTGAAAGAGACTATGTTCAAGCACCTGACCGACAATTACAAATAAAATAATAAGTGTTGAGCAGTTGGAAAATAAAATTTCTTTAAATGCATTCAAAGTTGAATAGTTCATCAAAGGAAGTAAAACTAACATCAACCGAATTTAGCTTTTATTGAATAAAGTTGGAATGGAGTTCGAGAAGTTTCAAGATTTTAGCATGTCCTTAATTTGCAACATGGAAACGTCTCGAAAAACCAATTTTACCACACAAAAAATATCGAAATTTTCCGTACAATACTAAGGACTCCTTTGGACACCCGCGCAAAAAATTGTCTGCTGTTGACGACATTACTCAATTGACAAAAGACTTGGAATCTGAACAATGCAGAGCTGAATGGATGAGATCATTTCGCCGGATAATTGTTTTCATCAATCCCGCGAGACAAAGACAAAGCTGGATGATTATTCCTCCTTCCTTCCTTATTCAACCGCACAATTTATTACTCGGGAAAGTCAAAATTGGAAATTTGATATTCTTCTTGTCGGTGAATCCGAATCCCTGACAGAGCCAGGCAGCCCACCATTCCTTTGAAGTTATCCTCGGATCGTTCTCAAAAGGCTTCGCCGATTCATCCCACGAAACCTGGCATACGGGGTATTCCAGAACCAATTTCAAAGTCTAGAATCTTGCCAGCATGCAAATGGTGGAAGTTTTTGCGGAGAGCTTATCACCAAGGAGAGGAAACGCCACAAGACCATGCCAATGTTCTCAGACGAGGACTTTTCGGCATGAGGAAAGACAAAGAAGAGAAGAAAAAGAGAGAGAGAAAAACGAACACGAAACTCCGGGTCGGAACTTTCAGCTATCCTCGACCTCGAACGAGGGCAAATTTGGAAAAGTTCCGAGCTCGATTGCACAGTTGAACGGAAGTTTAAACTTTTGCCAGGCTCTAGTTTCTTCGCTGGGGATACTATTATGCCATTATTTTCCATTGATCTGATCCTCGCGGTATTTTATTTGAGCGGCTCTATAGTTGAAATTGAAGATCAAATCTGAAAAAGGCAATAAGCATTTACAAAGCTGCTTCTTCGTCCGAAAAATCACCGGTGCGCCATGGGAAACCGTGAACACAAGTAATTTCAATAATGTAGAAATTATGTATATCGTAGAATTACTGTATCCTCCCGTTCTAAAAAAATCAGTAACCACGAGTCATACAATTATAAAATGATTTTTTAAATTTGAAATACAGAGGATACACAGAAAAACGAGGACGGCTTTTCCTCGGGGTAATTGCAAGGAATGGCAGTGGTTGTCATAAAAACATCAGCTAGATACTGAAAAATTTGACGAACTTTCCTTTCCTTTGACCATTTTTTTCACCACACTACTGTAACAGCTTGAAATATCCAAGAGATTTCGTAATCCATAAAACCAGTCAATTATTTTTGGCAGACCCTGTAGCCTATGCAGTTGGAACTGCACTTGTACAGTTGAAGAATTCGCAAACGGGAGATCCTTGATGGGATTTTTTTTCCAGGATGCTCTCTGAGACAAAATACTGTATTCGAACTGGGAATACACCAAAAAGGGAATTTAGCATCCCAGCTAAAAATACACCATTGTAATTGAAGCACTGAATGCATAACAATAGGGGAAAAAAAAAGAGACTGATTTCGCAGATAGTAGACCGAGAAACGTATGAACAGGCGGATACGCATAAATATATTCATGGTCTGCCTCGGCGCAATCTTCCAGAGCTCCGAGAAACGACGCTAGACAAGGGACTAGAAATGATACTACTTTTCCAGGCTGGAAGAGCTGGGTAAAAAAGGCCGGGGGGCGGAGGGAAACCCGTCCTCGTCTCGGGCAGCCATATTTTCCTTCCAGACGAGTCTCTCATTTCCTATCTTTCTCTTCATCGCGGGTAAAACTTGAGTATATGTACGTATATATAGATATATAATTTTTTTGCAGCCTTCTGTCACGGAGATTCATATCTGCGCAGCCGGCTTCTAGTGCTGGGAAACTCAACATCCTCTTTCTGCATTCATAAGCAAATGTGAACAAGAACCGGCGCCACTGACCTTCTTCCACTCGCTGAGAGTCGCCCTCTGGCCTCGCTCCTTTAGCACCTGCAAACGCCAGCAAAACCAAGGATTATTGTACTACACCATCTTGAAAAAAAAAAATCTGAATGGAAAATATGGCATTCACACGAAGCACACAATTAAGGAAGCGAAATAACTACTTCATACAGTGTTAACATTTTGAAATCAGTCGATCTTGAAACAACAAACCTCGTTAAACAATTCTGTCTTCCAGCGCATTTTTAAAATATCCCTGCAGTCGAGCCACAATGTTTACGAGTCACAATACAAAAAGCTTTACTTTTTATTTGTTTAAACATTCTAAGAATATGATTCATCAGGTTTGAATGATTTTTTTTTTCAGATGATCTTCAACTGGAGGTGGACTCTCTTTTCGAAACGAAATTCAAGAAACCAGGAAAAACATCGTTGAAGAGAACCCCTTCAGCCATAAAATTAATTCGTTATACTGTAAAAAGAAAATAATCGCAGAGAAAGTATAACCTTATAATTACAAAATTGGGAGTGCAAGAATTATGCAGTAATGAGTTTCATGATCTGAAAGTACTGTACAATCCAGAAAAAAAAGTTCTTGCATGAAGCCCAGATGGGAAAAAGTAGTTCGCCAATAACTACATTAAATACGAATAATCTTGATTGAACCTTGTGAACGCTGAAAAGCGGCAAATAAAGTGTTCTGTTCATTCATTCATTCAAATACGAATAAGCGGATATTAGATATAGGTGGACTCGCTTCCCAACCATCTTGACTATACGATTTTCTCTGGTTCCTTGATTTTCTTTTCGTAAAGGGAGTCCACCTAAACACTACGTAATTCACGTTGTGCGAACATTTTGAAATGCGTTAGAATATGGTTACGATGGACCCAATTGAAAAAAAACTCGTGACTCGAATAGCGTTTTTGGAAATTTTCACAGCGTTTCCACAATGGTTTCAAGTCTCAACACAACAACGTTTTCATTCTAGAGTTTTCGTTCAGGTCCCAAAGAATTCTATATTCTAATTCGATTAACCTACTTGAGCGTCTTTCAGCACAGGTAATTTCAGGAGGCTAAGCGAAATCACCAACTTGCTTAAAAAAATTAGCATAATTCATACAAACAATTTTTTAATCTCCGCTGTGAAGGTAAAATACGTCTGCTCCTTTCTTTCAAACCGAAAAACAAAATTAAACGAAACAAAAGGGTTCGAACCTTTCCGTGATTCTGCTTCCCCATTGGCCTTACTACCATCCCCGGCTTGAAGAAGCTGCTGCTGCGCACTTGCTGTGCTCGTCGCTGACGATGAAGCAGGCATCGGAGACAGCGACGATGACGACGGTGTCGAGGATGACCCACGCTGACCAGCGTCGCCCGTCGCCAACGACGCCACTTGCTCCGCATTGCACGGCACACGTATCAGCTTGTGGCATTTTTTGTGAATCAGTAGTTTGCACTGAACGCATTTGAAGCCCTGTCGACCCAGGCCCCATATTCTGTCTCGGCAATAGGCGCAAAATGCCCTCTGCGAAATTTAAAGAAAATTAATTCAATTCCGCAAACAGAAAAAAAACGAGTTTTTCGTGTAGTATATATGACAATTTTGGATCACAAGTGACAGATAGCCGTATTCAAAGCAGTGAAACATCTTCACCGGCAACTGATTTCATCGATTGAATTCGTACAACACAAGCAATATGTCTTGTGTTTAACCAAAAACTTGTTCTGTAAAAATCTAAAAAGTCCGATTCAGAGATTATCCCAAGAGAAAAAATTCCAATCCCAGCAGGAATACGCGTTTGAACCCGGAAACCCGAATACAACTTGGAGGAACGCAAAAATTCGTCTGAAAAATCGACTGTACCGACATATGAAAAGTATTCCATGACATTCCGCCAACGAAAATCTCCAGAATGCTCGAAATTCAATGGAATGCATTCAAATTAAAATATTTCAACGAATTAAGATCATCACAAATATTCTTGCACGCAGATCTTCCAAGACAACTGATTTCCTGTTTCGGGACATTCCGAAAAAAAAAGTACAGTTAATGTTTCCTTCTCAACAGGATCCTCCGAAAAAAAATCGACTGGAGACTTTTTCCTCAACATATCGAATATCAGGAGTTTTCTCATGATATTTTTTCCAAGGAAAACACAATAAAAAGTGGCGGCATAACGCTTGAATAAAATACTGTAGGTATGCATATGGACACCAAAGAATTCAATTATAGCATTTAACTTAAAATATCGCCTCTTAATTTGGAACATCAAGAAAATGGTTTCATCGTTATTTTCCCGCTTGACAGTCCGAACAGCTTCAGGGGATGCTCCCAAAAAGGATCCTTTAATGAGATCCAGGGAGAATATTTCTCCTCAACATATCCAATATTAGTGAGCTTTCTCACGACATTTTGGAAGACAAAAAAAAACGAAAACAGCGACATACAAGCGCAAATTTGACAGGTATGCGTAGGGACACCGACAAATTCAATTGAATTGAATACGAGGGGCTACACATTCCCCCGCGGACTCATGTCAGCATACAAGGTGTAACATGGTTCCGCGCGGAATCGTTTCGATGCAGACTAAAAATGATCTGAACACCAGGGAATTTTTTCCAACATTTTTCTCACGTTCACCGGTATCCCAGAGGCTAGGCAGACAGTTCTTCCATGTAATCGCAGCCAATTCGCTCACACTTCTCATCCCTTTTGATCCATGGGTCGAAACAGAAGCAGTGCTGGTTCCACCATGACAATGCCCACAAGGTGAAGTCCACGGTCCGTTGCCCGGAGGAATCGAGCCCGAATGTCTCGACCCCACCAACCCTAGTCCCCCTCACCTGGTCCCCTCTGACTTATGGCTCTTTCTAAAGCTGACGGAGTCCTTATGAGAGACCGACTCTTCGAAAACCAGGGAAAAGCTTGCGGCTGCTTTTCTGGAGGAGGTTCAAAATTCAACAACTGAACACTTCCTGTCTCAGCACATGGATCAAAAGGGCTGAGAAGTGTGTACAAATTGGTGGTGATTACGCTGAGAAAGTGTCTGCCTAGCCACTTGGAACTAGTTAACATGGAAAAAAAAATCCCTGATGTTCAGATTCATTTCAAGTCCGCGCCAAAACGGTTCCGCGCGGAATCGTGTAACCCCCTCGTATACAGTATCTAACTTGAAATATCGTCTCCTGATTTGAAACATCCCGAAAATGGTCTCGGAACGTTTTAGCAAGACTCTCTTGAATCTCTCTATTTTTATGTTTGTGTGATTGCACAAATATTTTGTGAATTGAATATATTTGAAAGTACTGTATACATTTTTATTTGACTTGTATATTTTTATTTACCTTGGTCTACGGACAACAAATTGGCAAACAGAATCTTCTGCTTGAAACAACTGATTATACTGTTCCATTTGACAGTCCAAACAGCTCCAGTCAATGTTTCCTCCCTTTCCTCCACCTTTCCCAAAGGATCCTCCGACGTGTTCCACGGGAGAATCTTTCCCCGAATAAACTCAATTTCAGAGGAGAGAAAGCGTCGGGATTGGATCCGCGGGGGATCTCAACTCCATTCTCCCGTTATTTCGACGAGAACTCCGGGCAACCCGTTCTTGATGACCAGAGAGATCCATGATGAATTGCAGTCTACATTCGAATGTCCGGGAATGACTGGCCGTGCTCCGCGTTATCCCCGCACTAGTCTTTTGTCGGCTTCAAGGAGAGGGGTTTATTGTATATATACTGCATATATATATTGTATATATGTGTGTGTATATATTGGAGAGTGTATTGGCGTTTTGAGCCCAGGCACGGTGGGGGTGGTGGGGGTTATGTGCAGAGGGGCGATTTATCTCTGCCATGAATGGGGAGGAGTTCAGGTTCTCAAAGGAGAACGGGGGGATTTTCGCCTCTCTTCTTCTCGGCCTGCTTGTGATGGTTTCGGGTGCACGAATACGCCGAGAGAGAAAAGAGAGGTCAAATTGTCGGAGGCGTATGTGATGACCGTCAATCTTTCACTCCTCGGCCTTTATTATTTTCCTATTCCCTTATTCCGACTATCCCGAACATCTTGATTAACGTCAACCGGAGCTGCCTGTTCTTTTTTGTTGTTGTTGTTCGTTTCGTTTTCATCGAGGCATCGATTCGAACTTGATCAAGCTGCTTTAGCTTTCACGAGAGAAACAAGCTTTGGGATTTAGGAAAGACTTTCAATCTCATGCGAGGTTACTCGGGGAAACTTCGGCTTTCATGCCCAACACTGCTTTCTGGAATGTCAGGCAGGTGTCGCTTGAATCACCGACCTGACTGAAGGAATATCAAGTGAAGAGCAGGATTCGGAGTTTTTCAAGCAAACAAAAATACTCAAGTTCACTTCCACGTAATACGAATTACAATGAGCTTTGTTGAAAGAAAAAACTCTTAAATTACGTTCACAGTGATCATTCCCTGATTTTCAATTTCAGGAAACTCACATTTATATCAATACCGCATTTATTACGGTTTCGGGAAGTTCAGGCGGAATATGTTTTGTGACGATTGAAACACTTGAACTGAACCAAACTTGAATTATTCTCATGCAACCAAAAGTTACATAATTAGCGTTAGACTGCATACAATTAAACTCGATAAAAAAATAACGTAAAACATCTAATCGCGAAAATCGACGCTTGGTCTGAAATCTGGAGATGATCATGTTTCAATAATAAAAACCAATCCTGGGAAAAGGATGGGAACTCTGGCTTAATCGGGCTAATTCCGTCTTTTAAACTTTTTCTTTCACAAGCAAAGAGACGCGGGAACAATTTTCGACTACCATTAAAAAAATTTCGAAAGAGCGTTGAGAAGAAAACTAAAATTCACTCGGGTATCCGTCCGTACATCCACTTGGAATTGCACGAATCATGAACACATCCATAAATCTGTCAAAATTGAAGCAATTGGCTTGCCAGTGATACATGTAGGTTAACTTTTATACCAGTAAAATATCAAGCATCTGTACTGTACTTCATTTTGGAAATGTACTCGAGCTATGACAAATCCTGGCAAGGAACCACCATTAACTTGAATAATTTCGCACCATCATTTTAAATTGAGCGCATCCTTACCCTCCGCACGGATCTTCCAAAACTAATAACCCTCGTTTCCCCCAAAATAGCTTTCACGTGATCTGGAATCATCTTTTTTTGACACATTACGCAAGGAAATCCGGATAATTCCATAATTCAGTTAGACACAAGATTCACTGCCATCATCTCAACGAGACGAAATTCGTTTTGAAATTATGTTACGTAGTTATTAGATTTTTTAAATTTCTCACAAATACCGATTATTTCTGCGGGGTTTCATGTGAATACTGGAGCTGTAAATACTCATACGTGGACCCAAAAGAGCGCCACTTTTCTAAAAAAAATATATATATTGCATTCACGCGAATGAAAGAATTTTCAGCGCAAATTCGAACAGGGGTTTCACTGATTCAAAGCACGCGAACTTCAAAGGCAAGAAGTCTAAAATTAACCACCGAGTGCTCTTCAAATGGCAGTTAATCCTCTTCAGCAGAAATGTGCAAAATTGAAAGGCGTCACTAGGCACGAATTTCCGAATATTAACGTTTTCGCATTTCGTGGCGAAGGAAACTGGGTGGTTCGCCTTCAACTCTTGCATCCAGTCGAATAAATACCCTCGCCCATCAGGGGCTCTCTCTCTCTCCGAAAGCATAACACAATAAGTCCATTAATTGGAGCCAAGGAAAAGTAATTAAGAATGAGATGCGTCTTTTACGGAAGATCCCCCGAGAACTCGGAGAAAAGGGGGATCCTCTTCATTTCGATTCTCACGTGTTCCACAGCTTCCCCCCTCGGGAAACCTACCGACTTCATGACTTCACCTGATGCTCGATGAATCAAGATATTTCAGAAATACGAGGGATGTTCCGTTTCCGCGTGTGTGTCCATTCTTAAAAAAGATTTTCAGCAGCTTCGTTAAGAAAGCAACTTTCGTCTAGCAAAAATTTCAAGTAGTTTTTTTTTAATTAGGCGTCATTCAAATTTCCTTAACCCTCGGCATGAAAGACAAGCTAAAAAAATAAAGCATTCAAATTTATAGAATACGAAAAATTAATTTCGTGAATTGATTCAGACGGGGAAACAAAGGTCCAGAAACGTTATTCAAAACCTTTGGAGACGAAGTTCAAGTACAGTAATGCATTCCTTGATGATTTTCACCCAGAAAAATTGATAAGCCCAAGACGATATACGAAAGAAGAGCTATTTCTGAAATAAAGGTGGCAATTGATGCTGGTAGTTTTTTAGATATGCTGTAATATTATCTGCAGGATTTATGACATATCACAGTGGGAAATTCCGAGAGAGATTTTCTAAGCTATGCAGAAAAAATAATCAACGTCAGTTCATCATATATTTGCTTGTCTTTGCCAATGGGCACAACAGACTGGGAATAAATTGCAGGGCAGACGGAAATATATTTTTGAAAAATTTAAGCAAATGCCAGCATGTCTTCGGTGAAGTGGCTGAGGGTCATTCTGCTAATCGTAATTTGGAAAATACACTCGAGACTCTTCTAGCTTCAAATTCCGACTTTGGATTCTGTATTGCCCAACTTGCATCAGCAGAATCACCGTCCTTACCGAGAGTATCAAAAGTCATATTTAAGATAGAACATGACTTTAAACTCCCCTGAACTCAAACCTAATCCACCCAGAACTGATAACATAATATGAAGTAAGCCTAACGTAACTCAGAATCCAAGAACAGGAACAAAAAACTGCACAAGAATACTAGATCATGCCTAGTTTACTTCTTCCTTCAATTGATGTCCAGATTTATCCAACCACAGTCCTAAGGAACAATGACTTTCAATGAATTTCCGATTTTCTTGCTCAATCGTTTTTAGATGAAGGAAAGTTCAGAAAATAAAAACCAACGTTTCTGAGGTTCAAAAAATCTGTGGAAAAACGTGGGGGAGATCATTCAGCGCGATTTCATGAAAGTCACGGGAACTAAAATAGCCTGGATACTTCGAGATTCAAATCAGTCGCCAATAATGCTTACATTTGAAACTTTCTCCATTCTTATTTTATTCTGAAGCAAATCTTTAATTTTCTCAGATGCTCGTATCGGCACATTTTGCTAGCGTTGCACGAAATTTCACAGTCGAATTTTTGTTTTGAACATAATTTCAGTCTTTCACTCAGTTGACTCTTGATAATTCCAGAGCTTACTTGTAGGAATTGAAAAAAAAAAATAAATAAACCAAAGGCGTGGTTGAAGATAAATTTGTTTTTGCAAAGTGTGGCGTTTTTCTCGCTTGATGCATTCTTTAGAAAAGCCAAGCCCAAAAACAATGATGCGATCACGAACTTTCGTCGAGCCTTTACGTACACCGATTTTCTCGTTCGGCCGGAAACCGAGACAAACCCACAACCTCATTTGAATTTAGGTACCGTACTTGTACTCAACTTCCTCTGCCGGAAAACAATTACCGGAGTGACGAACATTTCGAAAGCCGCTGCTCGCGTATCAGCAGGAAATTCAAATATGGCGTGATGCACTTTCATGAAAGCGGGACGAGAATTAGGCGAAACTTCTCCATCAACCAAGCTATAATTTCCCTACCTTCCTAAACCCCCCATCCGTTCCGTCTGAGCCCACACCAAATATCCTCTCACACGACTGACCACCAGCATTTCCTGCACATGTGGACGAAAAACCCTTCTTGGAGGGGGGTTTCATCACCCTCATCGTCAGGGTCCGTGACTGCCACGCAACTGACCACTAACCAACTGAGCACCAAGTCAAATTCAGCGCGAAGTTAACGGAGCATCAGGGAGAACTGAGAATTGCACAGATAAAATGCAAATTTTGCACACTTGATCATAACGACAGTGACAAGGCTACACTATTATTTAAAAAGAATCAATTTCAGGGGGACGGTCTCGCCTCATTCAATGAACGTTTCTTTCAACAGATGCGAGCTTCCCGCTGAGAAGGACTCGTTCAACGACCGGCGTCTCATACAACGAACAACCTTCCTGGAAAAATGCGTCCACTTTTCTTTTTGCAAAGCCAACCACCAGTCGCTTTTGTGAAACCTCACTTCTCTGAAGAAAATTTCCGTATTTTTTTGTAGTGCTGATCTGGATTATGTTGTTGAGACAGAAAGATTTTGAATGACCTTTTTTTAGAAAATAAAGAAGACTGCGATCAGCTGGGCTGCGGCTGGAGTGCTTTAAACCCTAGTGTAAGGTCGATATACATTATTTGACAAAGACAAGATTTTCGCAACTCAGTCAAATGCAGATGAGAGTTCAACGTCTTTCGCGTGAGACTGTCAAAATACGACTGATACCAAAACAATAAGTTTTTGCATCCAGAAATTTCACCTTGGGTCATTTTGTCCTTGAGGACTGAATGATTCAAGAAAATCCCAAGGATATCAGAAAAAAACTTGGGGGAACTCGAGGTCAAACTTCGGTCCCATGGGATTCCTGAAGGACTAGGTTTCTTTCAGAAGCTAAACGATCTATCTCCTTCTCAACTCTTATCATAATTTCCAACATTTGTCTATTTTAATCGATCATCAGCGAACGAATCAGACCGGAAACAGTTTTTAATCATCTCCACAACCACATGTACACAACTACGAATTACCACTAGTTCAATCCATTTTCCTCTTTAAATTTTGAACGGCATTTTCATGAATTTAGGTCAAAGAAAAATCTTCCCTATGCATTCGAATCGGGATATTCGCCCCACAAACACAAACAAAAAAACATTTCTTGGAACGGAATTAAGTTCGTCATACGAGACATCATCTTTCTTTTCAGGTGCACCGTAAAAGATTAATTACGGTGCAAAAAATAATTTCTAAATGAAATACTATTCAGCATACTTTTCATACATTAACCGCAAAATCAGGGTGCGGAATGTCCAACTGTCTTCGATGCTCAATTGGAATCGGAAATTACATCAGAATGACGCTCATTTTTCCCCCAGGAAGTTCACTTGGACAGCACTGAGTTGGGATCAGCGCTCACTTGTCCCACCACCGTCATAGTCGGCATTGTCTTCACCATCGTCGTCATCATCATCATCATTCCTATTCTGGCCCTGGGTCGTCTCGCAGAGACGCGCGACGTTCCCATATGACGACCTAGTTCTCATCCTGGCGCGCTTCATCGCCTCCCCAGAATCTCTTCGAAACCCACGTTCTCTAACCCCTCGTTTTCCGCGTTTAATGTCTTCAACACTAGAACAAAGGCGTAAATTGGGAATACTGTACTGTACGACGAGAATCTCTCTCGGGAATGCAAACATGGGGGGCACGCGAGCCTTAAATGGAATGAAGGGGTCAACTGGTGCGAATAAAATCATGGCTTCGCTGCATGTTCCCTTTCGTCAATCAACTACGAGTTTTACACAGTTGACTATTAGAGACTTTCCATTGAGGAAATGCTCTAGAAGACACGGAAAGAGAAAGATAACGAAGACGACGGTGTCCAATTTCTGACTGTTCTTATTGTAAATTTCACTCACTGACGACAAACAACTTGAAAGAAAAAAAATTTGCGGTGAGATTTCTTGAATGAGTCTCACAAAAATGTACGCGTCTTCTTCAAAAAAGATCTCTCGAGAAGGTACATCTGAAAAATGCAGTCATGTTCGCACTGTTGACAACGAGATATCACCAAGCTTGCAGCAAAAAAAAAAAAAAACATTTCTCCATCTTAGAATGAACTCCTTCGGAAGTAACAAGATTTCTTTCGAGGTCTGTTGCTGACAAATTTGAAGGCGTAAAAAAGGGTTCTGAAACTTGAATCGAAAATTTCCAGCAATCTAAAATCTCATCCTATTTCAAGGTTATCCAGACAGTTAACGTTCGTCCAAAGTTTCAAAAAAGTTTTGGAGGAGGAAACAGTCGTTCGTTTGAAAATCTTCTGAACAGTTGAATCAATAAATTCCAAAAAAAAAAAAACCTTTATTTTAACCCTCGTCGGTGTTCGTATCATTGCGAATATGACCAAAAGTCTATCAACATTGAAAATTGATTTGGGAGAATAAATGGCGATTTAACGATTATAGATTCAGCTATCCCCTTATTTTTTGTTTACACCGTTTAATAATCGTGACGTAAAACTCCATTCGATTCTATTTCGAGGATCGACTAGATCCATAAACCTAGCATCATTCGAAAAATGAATAAACGATTATTTTTTCTGCAATTTAATTTTTCAAAGGTTCAAATCGTTCAAAAACAATCTTCGTTTAAAACGCCGTGAACTGAAATCTCGTTTAAATCCCGACTCTCCGATTTACGTGAAAGCGAGTCCCGTCTTTCGCAAACATCAATCAATTTACACACAACTCCCACTTCTTATTTATCCTGCTTTTTTCTCTCGTTCAGAGCAGCAGGAATGGAATCTTCTAAGCAATCTTAAAGAAGGGGGGAAAAAGAAGAGCTCACCCTGTTGAATCGCTTGGCCTGGAAAATGTGCCCATTGACCTTGTACAGCTTCCTCCAACGACGAGCACCTCGTCGGTAAATGCTCTCTGTGACAGACGACACTTGAATTATGCAACAACCCTCCATGCAACACAACTGGATGAATCAGCTAACCCTACTACACATCTCAATATCTTTCGCCCAGTCAACTTACACTGATTTTAAGGTCAAGATGTTTTCGAGTTTAGACGGTTTAACCTCAATGCATTCAGTAATGTTATTTTGGGTAAAAAAAAAAAAAAAAACTCGAAACCTTTGCTGTACCAGGTGGGTCTACAAAATTGTTCTTAGATAAGCAACTATTCCCGATTACTGCTAAAAAAAAATAAAACAATATGTGCAGGAGATGGACTTTACGAAGGAAACGGACTTATTTTTAAAGACTAAAAGATTCCAAAACAGGATCCAGTAAGGAAAAAGAAAAAAAGGCAGCAGCTCACAATGACCATAAGATTAACGACAGAAAAAAATTCGGAAATTTGGTCACAGCTGGATATAGCGATTGCAAGTCACAATTTGATCAAGCTTCAAATTTTTTGCTTCGTTTCTTGAATATTTGATAATATTTACGGGATCTAATCTAAGGAAGTACTGGGAAAAAAATTAATCGAAAGGATGATTCGAAAACTGAGGACCGAGATAATTATTATTTTTTCCTTGAAAAGTTCAAGGATACTCCGCTTGTTGTCGAAGATGAAAAAATTACGGAAAGCAAATATCAGAACACTCGATTACATTGACCAGGAAATCAAAATTAAACCAGCCTTGAGACTACCGCGAAAACCGATCTGTTTTCCAATCAGCTGATCTTGAAATCCAAGTTCAAGCAAGAAAAATCAAGTACAGTACTGTACTTGAAAACTTCAAAAAATAAAACCAAATCATGTCTATGACACTTCTTTGTTTGAAGAGATTATTCAGAAAGAGGGAAATGAAAACAATGCGCAAATAATAGTTTCATCAATTATTTCTTGACGTAATTCACATGGAATCCAATCATACTTCAACTAGTTTTTTTCAATAATTAAAAAAAATCCGGCTCTGATTTTCGATCCTCGAATAAACTGGATACGTTTGAATTACAATTCAACTACATAAACCAACCGCATGATCATGTACTCTGCGACCCATCCTGAGTTTGTCAAAATAATTTTCAAGGCTAAAAAAAAGACCCAACTAATAACGGCATTCATTCGTCACTGACGTTACTCAACGGAAGTCAAACTCACTGTCTTCTCCCTGGCATGGCATCCCAGGCGCCGACGGCACATTCGGGAAAACTGCAAAGAGAACAAACACAGAAAAAAAACGAATAAGAAAATGAAAACTCAATAAACGACATGGAAGTGTCGACGTCGAGAAAGAGCGAAAATCAAATAACGCCCAGCAATTCGGTTTCCCCTTGAAGACAGAGCAGCACGGCACTTCCTAGCGACCAAAAACCCCCACGTTCTTTTCCCTGGGTCGATGCAAATCCTCGGAAGACTTCGAAGCCTTCTGATGCTAGCTGCAGCTTCCTTTCAGTTTTTTTGTGTGGCTATTTCATAATATTTTTCGTGCTGATCTATTATTAATATTATTATTACAAAGATGAGAAATGCGCGAACCGTGAGACAAACCATCTCATAGCAATGCTTTCGAAACATTCCCATGTCCGCGGGTGTCTCAGTCGTGGGTAAATTCATTGTTCAGTATTTCTGTAAACACAAACCTGAATTGCGCTGGATAATGGCACAGTTTGGCGTGGCTGATTATTTGCACCTTATTTCAAATCAAGTGTAAATGGCAAAAGCTTCGTGCGGAACTCTTCAACTTCGCAAAAAAGCTCGCGGCAGTTACTACGGGAATTTCTGATTCAAATGCGGTTGACGGTTGAATTAAATAACCTGAATTCATAAACACGGAAATATTTCGAAAGATAATTAAATAAGCTTTAATCCAGCATATTTCTTTTCAACAGCCAAAACAATTAACGACTCAAGAGAAAAAAACAATGTAAAAAATTGATCATAAGTTTATCCATTTTCAGTAATTCATTCTTATTTGATCATAAAAATAAGTTTGATATTACATTATGATCAGCATAGTACCTGTATTTGAATTATTTTTGGCCGTATTTCCTCCAATTAAATCTTTCATTAGGACTTCACGTCAGGTTTGTCCATTGTATCGATTTCGTAATGTGGAAATGTTTATTAATATCATTTACAACTATAATGGGCAAAATCAAATTTACGATGCTAACTCGCGGACAGAGAGAAGAACCGTTCTATAATATTATTTCAAGTACCCCAGTAAAAAAAAAATCCGGTGAATGATACCCCAGTTGTAAAAAAAAGCTCAAGGCCTTAATTCATTCATGAAACAAAACGCGCAAAAAAACTCACATCATACAGCATTCGACTTACACTCCGAAAAAAAAAAACCAGCGCTGTATCATGCATCTTAAAAAACTAAGGCACATTTAAAACGGGCGACAAGTCGCAGAAACTGTACATCGATAGTTCCGAATTTCGCACACTTTCTACTTGTTGTTGAAAAATTTACCCATGAAGCTGATTTCGTCTGCCGCTTTCGCATACTACGGAATTTTCAGAGCAACGTTTATATAATACACGTTATGTAGAAATTCATATCTCGGGGAAACTGCGGCGGGTGAAAAGAAAAGTTCGCCTACCCCCCTGATCTCAGCGATTCTCCGCGGACCAAAAAATAAAAGAAAAGAGGGGGAAAAAAGCGGAATTCTAATGCAATTTCCTTCTACCTTCCGGGCACGTGGTGTGATGTAGAAAAATAAAAAGTAAAAATACGGCAAGAAAAAAACTTGAGCGCACCAAATGCCGCGTTGCATCAAGCTCGCCTACAGCTTTTTCACTCCGTCCCATCCATGAATACCGTCTTCACACGAATAAAAGACGCACTTTTCTTCTCGCAAACATTTAATCAGGAATGAAAAAAAAAAAAGAAAAAACAGACGTGTTATATATTCGAAGATCTCATGAGCAACACAATCTTTGGAATGAAAAACAATCTGAAATGTAATCAAACCATCTCGGAAATCTTGATTAAACCTTGTGAACGCTGAAAAGCGGCAAATAAAGTGCTCTGTTCATTCATTCATTCATTCATAATCAAACCAATCCGTAACTTTCTGTTCAAGATATGCAAACGTTTGAATTTTTTTTTCAAGGGTCCGAAGATATTAAGCAGGTGAATGGGGCTCATCAACCAGACACAAAGCTTCCAAAGAAATTGGGTGCCACGAAAGTCTCACACAGGTTTTTCTACAACGATTTTCCCCGTACAGATCGACTCAGTCTACAACGAAATTCAAGGTACCAGAAAACAATTTGTTCTGGAGAACCCCCAAACAGTAAAACAGATTTTTTTTAATCCATGGGGTTCTCTAAAGTTAGACTGAGTCAAGAGAACCCTATACTGCACAATATATTTTTTGTTGCTCATAAAGTTCTCCAGAACGTTTGTTTCTCCTGGTCCCAATACTTTCGTGGTAGAGAGAGTCCATCGGTATTCGCAAGCAACATTCTTTTCATTTCGAAAAAGCCGGAAGAAAGCATCAAATAATCAATAATGGCGTCTTGCATAAAGATAAAAAAGGCTATGGAGGATGGATAGGAAGTGCAAACTGCGTATGCAAGCGCTCGTATATATATATATATATATTGTACCTTTGCCAGAGGGGAAAGAGAAGAGCCAAATGTGCACAGTACGACATAACCCAGGCTTCATTTTCATTTGTGCACCGCCGGAAGTAAATTTTCATTCGCATCATACGCGAACGTGCGCGAGAAAAAGCGGAAGTTCGTTCGCTGAGCCGAGCAGCAAGTACTGCGGGGGGTTCTTGAAAATTATTTTCGGATGGTATTTTATTCCGTGGACAGGGTGTTGTTCCTTGATATCAAGGAAATAGTATCATGCGAAAAAAATGAAGTAGATGAGATTGGTGGCAGTTTTCTTTAAATTTACAACATGAGATTTCGCTTCAATCTCAACCCAAGGTCGAGACAAATTTCAAAACAACAAAAGATCGCGATTAAAAGTATTCATGACGGAATAACATCAGCAAAGTTCCAGAAATTTCGTTGCCTCGAAATGGATTTTAATATTTCCCAACAGTAATGCAATTCCAGTATCATATTTCCTCCCCGATGAGCGGGAATAAATATTCTAACATCAAGGCACATCCTCTTAAAATATTATTTAAAAATGTATTTTTTTAGGAATTTGAATTCAATGCTTTCCGAAGGGGAAATCATTTTTCCGCGGAAAATATAATTTACTGCAAATTAGCAGTAAAATACAAATACGAGAGAGGTATTGAAGAAATACAGGAAATCGAAGATTCAGGTAAAGGCAAACGTACAGTGCTCTGAAAAAGGCTTACTTTTACTGTCAGGATCATTTTTAAAGTAGAGCTTTTTCAGTGGCAAAATATAATTTCCTAAAAGCTTAAATTTCTCGAATTTCTGAGGAGAAAATTCTGTCAAACTGAAAACAATTGTACGTGTCCAACCACTGTACTCAATGATAAGCCAAATTTTAACAGCTACTCCGGATCAATCGATTGCAAAGTTTATTTCGCGCCTTTAATTTGAAAAAAATTTCCGGATTACAATTTGTCGAGCATTCTCTGTATCACCTCTTAATCTTCCTTGCTATTACTGCACCTTTATCATGCAACTTTTGTAAGTTTAAAGCCTTATTCCACTTATATCCGAGTTGCTCAAAGCGATTACAGATGCGAAACAAGGAGAAAAAAAAGCCATATTCACCGAGGTACCAATTTCCTCTTCACGCTGAACGATAAGCCAGAGAAGCTTCGATATATAATTGCATTTTTCCGTCATGAAACAAAATAAAAGAAGCAGTTTCCCAGAAAACCTCTTGGTCGACCGACGAAAGAATGAAACAAACTCGATCAATTTTTCCACTAAACCATAACCTGAGGCAGTCACTGCAATCAAAGAAGAAAGAATGTCCGAATGCCTTCGGGATTTGCCTCCCGCTCCTTCTCCGATTTTTCGCATTTTCTTTCATCGTTCTACGAATTTTCTCCTTCGATAAAGAAAAAAATAATATTTCCAACTCCCATACCAGCAACGCATTTCCACTATCCATCAAACCGCGAGAACCGCTCAATTCAAAACAAGCCTTCATACCTTTTCGCCGAAGCGAAGCATTATTTATTCAGAACTCAGGAGTGATTTTATCGGGCACGAGAAGAGATAGACGTCGGCTAAAGGTCGTGGTGGGAATCTCAAGAGGATATTTTGATATATGCTAACGCGGGTGAAGTACTGGTCGACGAAATCGGTCAGACGTTCAGTTTGGATCCCGAACAAGAAAACCGCGATCGATGGGAAAAGAAAGATTGAATAAAATACTGAAATAATAAATCTGTCAGATGAACCAGAACAGTCCTGAGCGTGAAAATTGATGGTTTTCAATACATAACGGCTCCCCACAATCCGACACATGCAAATCAGTCGCAGGACAAATATAGTGAGGTGAAGATTCCATTCTCATGATCAATTTTAACATTTTACTAGTTCCAGCTTGAAATTAAAAAAAACGAAACACCCTTGAATAATTCTAACGTCAAGTAAATCACGAGGAGATCTTCCACTGGGTTGAAACGAAAACGTACTACAGTCCAACCTCCATAAGTCGAACCTCCCTAAGTCGAAAACCCCCCTAAGTCGAATTTTTCCCCAGTCCCCTTCCAATCCCTTAGGAAATAGTGTTTAAAAAACCTCCCTAACTCGAAATAGTTCAATGGAAAACCTCCCTAAGTCGAATTTTTTTGAATACAAGGAGGCACAGAAATTTTTTTTATTGCAGCCGTTTTAGGGGAGGAGAGCTGATTCAATTTGAAGCAGCATCCTCCCCCCATTCATTCAACAAAGAGACTCCGTTTCCGGCGCCAGGGCGCCAGATTATTTTACTACTGCAGCTATTACCCACTGATAAAAAAAAAGAAATCTTTTCAAAACCATCGAAAAAAAAACAAGCAAGCTGTTTCCTAATCAGTACAAAGCACCCAAAAAGTGTAGATTTTTAGCATTGCAAAAAACCCACCAATCATTCATCCACATCTCTGAAAGTTGCAAATCATCATAGGAAAGAAAAAGGAAAAAAATTCTGCACCATTATTTCTTTAGAATTTTTCTTGATCTTTTTAGAATCTCTAAATCTCCAACTCAAAACTTCATTTTTTCATGGAAATTTTTTCATTCATGTTTAATGGGAGTGACTACAGTATTAAACCCTCAAAATGTTGACATTTGTGATTTTCTGTTTGGGTCTTTTGTAAAGTGGGGACCAGCTGTATACCAAAGAGTATTATGACAATTAAATCCTTTTCAAGATCTGTGCACTAAAGTCAAAATGCTTTTGTATTTCTGTTGCCACACTTTTATGTACATGTACTGAGTAAAGTGACTGGTTCCTCATTTTTTCAAAATTGAGAGGAACAATTATGATGCTAATCAAGGTTGCATGCATAAAATTCTCCACAAATTTCAAAAGTTTACAGGGGTCCATGGAATTGAACTTGATTCAGAAAGTGACTGGTTCCTCATTTTTTCAAAATTGAGAGGAAAAATTATGATGCTAATCAAGGTTGCATGCATAAAATTCTCCACAAATTTCAAAAGTTTACAGGGGTCCATGGAATTGAACTTGATTCAGCACTGAATTTTTTAAAACAATTTAAAGTTATTGTTTTTATTGAAACAATTTAAAATTAATGGGATTTAGGTTACCTTTATGTCCTGATTCAAAGTCTGGTTCATCTTATTTTTGAAATACTGTTTTTTAGTCTTNATTCAGCACTGAATTTTTTAAAACAATTTAAAGTTATTGTTTTTATTGAAACAATTTAAAATTAATGGGATTTAGGTTACCTTTATGTCCTGATTCAAAGTCTGGTTCATCTTATTTTTGAAATACTGTTTTTTAGTCTTAAGGCATTTAAATTTGGGGGTACATCCCCCTGACTGATAAGATTTTATCCAAAGTGGGTATGTAGAGCAACATCTGGGTTTTGTGCCTCTCTTAATCATTAAAATAGCTTCTTTGGAATTTTAATTCTGTTTTTTAAAAAATTTCTTCACTTCCCCCATCAACCTTTTTCTTTTGGAAGAATGAGTGAAAGGTGTCTACTGCCTTACAATAAATGTCAAGCAAAGGGCATACCCTGAAAGCAATGTCAATCAATTAAAAAAATAATCCATAACTGGAAAAAGGCTCCAAAAAAGTTGACAAATAAAAAATTTCAGGAGGAGGAATAAAATTTTTTCACATGCAGAACAATCAGTTTAGGGAAAGCAGCAGCTGGAGGAAGTGGGTATGCAGACTTGCAGAGAGAGTGATAGTAAGAAAATTGGTGCAAAAATATCCACTGCCTGATTTCAACCTATCTTCAAAAACACCTTTCCTCCACCAAGAAACAGGACAAACTGATAATAAATCATAAATATCTGCACTATTTATCCTAAAATGCATGCCCCTGGAATTCCTGCATGGCCTCAAAGGTTTGCCTACTGCAGTGGGAGAAAGTGAAAGAAATAATCTCCCTTCTCCTTCAAATCATGAAATAACACCTTCCTTCCTGTGCATCTTAATCTCTAATCCCTAATCCTTGGGGAGACATTTCTCAGAGTTTTTTTTATTTTGAGTGAAAGGAAGGAATCTCCTTCTATCCTAGTTTTGACTTACATAGGGGATCAATATATCCTGCCCTGTCCTGCAGTTGTAGCCACTCCCCCCCAATATTTCATCCAAAAAATTTTTTCTTCTTTGCTGTCCCCAAAACCTCCCTAAGTCGAAACCTCCCTAAGTCGAATTTTTTCCCTGGTCCCTTGAAATTCGACTTAGAGAGGTTCAACTGTATATTAACTCGGCTTCTATTCCAGAAGTACTCGTTTACGACGTACTTCTGAGACCGCAAGAATCACATTTTCGAGCAAAACTCAAGATGATTCAGGATTAAAAAAATTTTATATGATTATTTCTGGAAAATCAGCAGCTTCTGCCGCTGAAAAATATCCGTTGTGCTATCGAAAATTATTTCTTGTTTCTTCTATCCAAAATCATTGCCAAAAATCAGGGTCTGTAATCGCGTAAATAAGCACACAAAAAAAAAAGGATTAAATTTTGAAAATATCACAGCAGCAGCGGATAAAATTTCTTTCGGAAGAAAACCGGAAGAATACCTTTCCAGGTAAGTCGTCACGGAACAATCTCGGGGCGTTAATGAACAATTAATTTATACACGAATGAAGTGGTGAAATCGAGGCCCGTTGAAATATAAAATAATGCAAGATTTATGTTAACTTCCTCGCAATTCTTGTAAGTCAAGAGAAGAACGTCAACACATTTACAAAAGAATCAAGCATCACTCCTAGATTATAACCATTTGTCGATTTGAAATATAAAAAATAATAATCTCGTCAATTCTTATACATTCATTTTCTACAAAGAAACAGTTTAAAAGCGGAGCTTCAAACCCTTCTCAGAAATATATGATTTTCCGACCAGTAATCAGACCTCAATCACAATAACAAAAATCTTCGAACAACTGTAAAGCTTTACGGGATGGAAGTCAAGAGAGCTTCGAAAAACGTCAACCCATTTATGAATGAATCAAGAATCAATCCCACCGCCTGTCGATTTCAAGTTTTTCAACTAAAAAGAATACCTCTTTGATTCCTCGACGATTCTTCCCCACACAGACATACTGTACAGTATTGCAATTCAAAAGCGGGAATTTAAATTCTCTCAGAAACAAAACCTTCTCCGACCACCAATCCGAATTCAATTAAAAACAAAACAAAAATCGTCGAACAACTGCAACTCTTCACGAGGAAGTGATCAAGAGGCGACTTGGCATCCAGCTGAATTAATTAAGAAAGTACATTTATTTAAAAATGTTCCGCGATAAAGCTGGCCTACGACGACGAAGCTTCAGCCAGAGATCCAACCCTTCTGGAAGCTGCTCCGCGCTGCCGAGGATTTCGCAGAAAGGGCAACCAACACCCAACCAAGCCGAGCATACTGCTCCTACATCTCATAATAATAATAATAATAATAATATTAATAATATTGATGAATAAGTACAACAAAAACAGCTCATCGCCCGACGAAAGAGGCCGAAACGAGTAGCCGCCGTCGACCGCAATAACGAAAATGCTCCGTCCGGCATAACGAGAGAAATCGCCAGTACCGACCGCGAAGTCACGGGCTCGGGTTCATTCCGCGGAAACGGGACACTGGGAGACAAAACTCGCAAAAAGGACACGAACAAAAAAAAATCAAGAGGTTTTTATTTTTTTGTGTTTGGTCTCCTAACATTCTTACTTGAAAAGAACCTCAGCACCTCGTCGAGATGCGTCGCTTGCCTCACACACAGCCACTTTGTTCCCATGCTGGCACTCGCTTTTCTTTTTGTATTCCGATTCTGACGCATCAGGGTGGGGGAAAAAAAAGAGCCGTCACTGGGCACTTTCACGTTACGCCGGTGGTACTCATAACTCACACCCATCCCTCGACAAAACTGTGTGAGCACATGAAGGGTTCTAGAAAATCATCAAGATGATTCTCAGAAAAAGAAGGCGAATCACTTCTATGTGCAATACAGCAAAAAATAAATAAAAATGTGAATACCAACATACAGTGTATAAAAAAAATACCGGTGGACTCTCTTAACAACGATCTTGTCTACAACGACTTTCTCAGTACAATGCTTTTTTTTTTCAGTCTCACAGGGTTCTCTCCCCACGGTATAAAGGTTTTCTCTACAACGGAACTCTCACTATAATGATTTTTCTGGTTCCTTGAATTGCGTTATAGAGAGTAGACTGTGAAAAGAACACTGCAGAATTTTCACATCACGAGACTTGAGGAAGTTGAAAGCTGCCTCCAGTTTCAAATGCAAAGACTATCTCTGCAACGATGACTTCCGGAGAAAAAATAAAAATAAAGTCATCAAGGGAATTTCTTACAGAGAAGACTATTTTTGTGCACA